TGATAGTTGTAGATGAATGTCTTTCGCAGACGAATATTCCAAAGTGAGCGTGTGACGCGCGAGAAGTGTTTATTCTCTCAGCTGCGTTGTTGACGTTCGCTTCAGGTTACAAAAGCCGTATCTCATGATCTATGATTTGCGATTTTTCCTGACAAAACAAGTATCGTTTTTAAGACCTAGTTTTCTTTATACCATTTACTATAGTGTACTAATGAATGTCTTTCAGAAATTAGGGAAATACACGCGTATTTTGCGGTACACAGCGTTAACACCTTCGTTCACCATACTTACCCGTTTGGATGGTGAGGTGTTAGCCCGGGTGACCGAAGGGTGGCCTGGAACGACTACTGGTACTACTGTTACTTGGACTCGGGTTAAGATCCATGCCAGTGGTATCTTGAGCAGACCACCCCCGCAGGGCTAACACCTTCACACCAATTAACAATTGGTGGAAATATAAAAGAACAGGAGAGAAAAAAAAAATCTTTGTTCCTAATACGTTTACTACGCCTCCAACGCACAATGATTACTAATACCACCAATGCGCGGCCAACCTCTTATTACATACTCGCCCGGCCCCCTTTTGGTCACATGATGTGCCGACGTAACGAGGCTTGGTTCCCTAGCTGTTAACCTTTGTTATTGCATAACCTCATTTATTATATTATTAGCACTGATGAAGATCCGGGCTTACGGATTGAAAGCTTTGCAGTAATAAATTTACGTTTACGTGGTGTTTCCACAAACAAAAACAATTATCTTTCCATATTATCATGTATTAGTCTTGTATTTAAAGGCAATTACTTAGATAAAGTTAAGAGATGTACTTAGATTTTCTTGCCCCTATAAAGTGCTAATACTGAAGAGATGTAGTTCTTAGAATGGCTAGTTAGTAAATTGTGATCCTAAACCCAAAATATTTTGCTTAACTCTAGGTGTTTGTAGATATAACAAAGAACGTTCTTGCCAAACGAAAGGAACAAACAAGAATGACAGAACAGTCTGGAATAAAACTCAAAAAAGACAAAGATAAACGCAAAAAGAAGAAGTCACGGTGCTAAAAAGATAACCCACAATACCTACTTGTTCAGCCACAAATGCTCTGGGAACATTGTTTCATGTCCTAGGAAAATAGACATAAAAACACTGTACATGTACATAAAGAATATTGTATTGTCATGTTTTATTAGTCAGGAAAATATTCGAGATGAATTGTCCTGTATGATAGCATTGCAGATGTAATACAAAATAAATTGTGAATGAAAGTTCCATCAGGATTTGAGAAGAAGTATTGTACATTTTAAATGTGCAAGATTGCGAAAATCAGTCCTCCTCTTGTCTTTTTCAAATAATTTGTTTATGATGGGACTTTTATTAATATTCACAGTTTGTTTTGTACTGTCTAGAGGCAGTGGATAGCAGTACAATACATGAGATCCCATACATTTCTGTCGTCTTTTTGCTCAATTAAAAGAGATAGTTTGAAATTTGACTTTTACCATATGCATAATACATCTACAGTAAAATATTCACCATTTGCCAATATTAAATTCCAGTAAATTATCTGAGAAAATTCTTGACAGTTTCCAGAAATTCTTTAGGTTTGTCAGCATGCACAAAGTGCCCTGCACCTGGTATCATCTCAAGCTGGGCATTTGGAAACATTTTTCTCATTTCATTCATGTCGACATTTCTGAATAAAAAGAACAAAATGTTTCTTCACAAATGAAAATAAATTGCCATTTAAATATCTACAATGATACACAATATAACAAAGATATTGCTTGCTTAGGTTAGGAGTAATTTAACAAGCATAGTAGCCAAGTACAAATTAGCCTGCGAACAGGCCCTGGGTTACGGGCGGCGCGAAGAATAGAGGGCCTGCACGGAACTATAGGTTTTCTTGGTAGTGGCGTTCGTATAGAAACGCAGGCTTCTGATTGGCTTACACTCGTTGACAAATTACTAAAAATAGCAAATGTCAACAACAGCATTTTGAAGAATTTGAACTTTATTCATTTTAATATTATATATTATAGGACTATCGAACAAATAAAACTAGAAGTGGAGACCAAAAGCAATAGCAAAGCATCACAGCAAAAAAGTCTATCATAAATGACTTGAATCTATCGCTTAAATCCAATATACGAAACTATAACAGTATTCTGAACTTCGTCTTCGGATTGACATCAGACTATACTCACTATAGTATAGTACATTTTGAGGTCGTCGTGGCTTCACGGATTATTCTCATTAGTGAGCAAGTCAGCAAGCGAAGGCATACAAAAGATACCCAAATATGTACGAATAATTATATTGTTGATCCTCGCTGGCATGTCATTTAGATAAATATATATCGTACATTAAACCACGGTTAATAGAATCTAATTCTATTAACCGTGATTAAACGTTGTACTATTTGCTGTATATTAACTGCTGACAATTTCGTCGTCGATACGGCTTCCACTATTGGCACACTCGTGATTTCGAAGAAATTAATAAATACATGCTCATTTATCATTTATTTAGACCACAGTTAGTAAAATTTTAAACGTATTCGGTATTCCAAATCCCAATCTATCTGACCGTATTTTAGTAATAGCTTCAAAATATTCAGAACATTGTTCTTTCAGTCGCACATAGTACAAGTATTACTGTACATTCAAAGCCAATGGTAGTATTTTATTCGGCTTTATATTTGTATGTGTATTGATATCTATTTAATATTTGAATTCTATGCCTTTCCGAGTAATATATTGTACGGCTAATGTTTTGTATTATTGTTCATGTTGCACAATGTACACGCCTTGCGTCAATTTGACAGTTGACAGTTTATTTATCGCAGTCGACGCTGATTGGTTAGCGTTTAGCAGATGCGAAAAGGGGATGAATGAATAAAACGCATGGTTCCGTGCAGGCTCACCTTTCTCCCAGTGAGCCTGTTCGCAGGCTAAGTACAAATTTCTGTTTTTGACGGTTCTTCCAGTCTGACACTGGGATTTATTTGTACAAATTATGCAGTTGTCTGTTTATAATTTCACCTCAGTCATATGTGACAAGAGTGCTTCAAGTTTGACTTTCCCAAACAAGCAGGCTTTTCTGTGTCCATCTGGTACACACGCAAAAATCTCACATCTTGTAACAAGTTTGTTAACAAGCCATCAACAAGTTGTCTTCGCACTGCTTGCCACAAGTGTTAACAATTTGTAACCACCTTGTTGATATTATCAGGCTTGTTACAAGGTTGTTTGAACAAGTCTGATACAGTCATGGTATATATAGCAATATTGCTACAACCTTGTGTTGTCAACCTTTATAACATTACTGTTTATCATGACTGTATCAGACTTGTTAGAACAACCTTGTAACAAGTCTGATAATGTCATCAGCTTGTTACAAGTAGTTAACAGCTTGTTCCAAACTTGTTACAACAACTGGGAACAAGCAGTGCGAACACAACTTCTCGACAGCTTGTGAACAGATTTGTAACAACTTGTTTGCAGATTTGTAACAACTTGTGCGTTTTTACGTGTGTATTGGATAGAGTAAATTATGAAAGTGAAGACATCATGTCTCACCTGAGAACATCGGACTCCCCTCCACCAATGAAAAGAGTTTCTCCTGCATATGGCTGCCTATCATTTAACATGATCCCGTCAAAAAGTGTTTCTTTATTCTCCTGAACACTGCTAACATTTACATGCCACGAAAATTGTCCTTTTTTATCTTTAAACAAATTTGTAAGGACCCAAGCACGAAGATCATCCAACTGAGAAACGCAGAAAATATTTATGTTATATATATGTCAAAGAAGTATGATTACGATTAACTTTTCTATAGCGTGAATTTGCATGTCAATGTGATAAAATGCGCTTTACATCGAGTATTACGCCTATCTAATTACGTACTTAGCCTAAACTATTTTATCTTTGCTACAATTGTGATATTACTTTCTTAATTGTGTTGATCCTAATCCACTCTGTCAACTTCCCCTGTGGGAGGATTCAACCAGAGTACCCGGAGAAAACCCACGACTTCGGCAGAGTGTTGACCGACTCTTTTCACATAAGTTTGAAGCAAGAATCGAACCCACAAACCCCAAGGTGAAATGCGCTTCTCTGACGACTACAACACAGTAAGTTATTAATATGATAATTATTTTATCTAAAAAAGATATTTGTTCCTATTGTAGTATTACTACGATCACCTCTTTATTACAGCCATAATGCCAAGACAATACATTTTCTTGTAAAAATACCCCATTAATATGGCCACCCTATTAGTATGGCCAAATTTTTTTGGCCCATTCTTGGCCATATTAACAGGGTTCCACTGTGATACTCACTGGAATCGAGTCCTTCAACAATTCATCAGCATCTTTTCTGCTTTTAACTTGAGTTAAATCCAGATTTATCATAGCTGGTAACACCATGGGAACCATGCTAACAGTTCCCGTTTTAGTTGATGCAGGGATGGGGGTTATATCGACCAATATTAACTTCCCGACAATACCAGGCATGCTCAATGCCGTTTCCATGGCTACTTTACCACCCATACTGTGACCAATCAAAATGGTTTTAGGAATTCTTAATTGTTTTAATGTTTCGGCAATGTCGCCAGCCATCAATGGATAGGTCATGTAATCACTCCTCATGCTCTCGCCATGGTTACGACAATCGACAGCAATCATCTAAATTGGAAAAAAAATTTAAAATCAAAAGTCAGAAAGCCTCAGATTGATAGAGGGATATGACTACCTGAAAAATTTTGTTATCTTTAGAACTCTGTAAATCTCTTTCTAAAGTGCAGGAAATGGCATTTCAGAGACTCTAGACTCCGGGCCTCCCCAGAATGTCACCTGCCTTCGGCAGGCGCTAAGTGTGCCCCTCACTTTTAATAGAGCCGCTCTGTTCAAGTTTGAAACTAACTTTATTGAAACTGGGTATAATTTTCTCTATCAGACCAGAAGTGTCATACATACCTGTTTCCCAGTATGTTCACTGTAAGATTTACAAAATGTATGCCAGTTTTTTTTCCACCCCAGCATACCATGAATGACCAAAATCGGACTGCCCTCATTCTGCCCTGCATTGGCTTCATAGTTCTCATGCGCCAAAGCAAATGATTGGTTTGAAACACTTCGCAAAAATCCACCACAAATTATCTTTGATGGTTGTTTAATAAAGGTTTTAGAACAAACTGTTGTTCTCTGCGTACTAATTCTTCGTAAACACAGCATGATTTATCAAATTTTCCCAGAAAAATAGAATTTTTTAAATCCACACTTTCGCGCTGTTTACTAAAATTTTAGCGGGAGATTTCTGCGCGAACTCCCTGACCTGTATATAGCACTGAAGTGAGTTCGCCACTGATCTAAAATATATATAACTGGAGCAACTTCCCGACGAAGCCCTTCGCTAAAACGCTTATATTTTTGAGGCAGCTGCTGTATCTCTCTCAATCCGCAGCTTTTTTACCGTAGTATTATGGGTCGCTATCTATTAAACTTGGATTGTGCTGTCCAGATATAGCAGTCCAGTGTGAAATGTTAGATCAGTGGGGTAAAGCGCTGACTCATTAAAATTCAACTTGGATAACAAACAGAAAATCACGAGACACGATTCTTCCGCGAAAACATTTTCAATACAAGTGCAATGTCGATGCGTGTTTTTCAAAACGTACCCTGCACTAAACTACAGTATTTATCGCAATTTCGGGCACTTGTTTAAGTTGGAATGCGTGATATTATAGCGTAACTGAAGTGGAGAAAATATTTAACAGCTCAAAAAGCCGGAAGCCGGCATACAATTACAAACAAATAGCAAGCAACAATGGCGCACGATTGTGACAACAATTATAAATTTATTATACTAGGCGATGCAGGTATGTATAAATAAACTATTTTGACACAATAGTAAGTATATAGTTTTGCAGTGTTAAATTATTTGCCCAGAATACTAAATTGTTTTATGAGCGCGTGGCTTCACTTCGGTCATGGGATGCGTTTGGCCTTGGTCTGGTTTTTATCGAGTCACTAGTGCACGACCAGCTGTTAGATTACATTTATTCCGAATGGGGTAGGTTTTAATTGTAAATACGTTTATACTTTCGAAATTAATGTACTAATTGTTACACTTTGTATTGGAATTAGGTGTTTGTGATGCCATGATAAATTTTCGATCTAATTTTGATATGAATACATAATGATATGAATACATAATGATATACATTATATATATATATATATATATATATATATATATATATATATATATATATATATATATATATATATATATATATATATATATATAT